TGGAAGGGGCTGATGCTTCGTTTTGGCCTGCTAATTTGTGTTTGTTTGTTTTTCCTGGGTTGTGCGTTTCTTTTTGCTTTTGGGTCCGCGGGCTCACCTTGTTTTTTATCCTCTTTGACAAATTTTGGGTGTCAAGTCTTGGCGACGGAAACTCTTTGGTTCGCCTCGTATTCAAAGGACAGTTTAAACGCATCTTTCTTGGGTTTAGCAGTGTGGTGCGACATGTGTGCACCCTCTAACGCTTGGGTTGATCCTCCTGTTCTGAGTGGAGCGACGCCTCCATGCGGCCTAAGGCAACTCCAACGTAGTACTGCCACTAAGTGCAAAGGGCCTTTGGAGTATATTCTATCTGCTTGCCCATATATAGACTCCAAAGCGCGGAATGAACTTCCCAACGCTTGTTGCTTGCCGTACAACAGTCTGTAAAGCTTGTGTTCTTCTTCTTTGCTCATTCTGGCCACCTCCCCACGCGTCCGTGCGCTCAGTTCTCAGATTGCAAATGCAACACGTCTTCGGGACGTTCATGGTTGATCCGCTTGCAAAGCCAATGGCGTGACACGTCGGGACAGCTCCTGCATAGTGGTATGGTCCAATCTGCGCAAGGAGCTCCACCACCAGCTACAAACGCGCGGCCCTCTACCTCCTTTCGCTCGTGGAGGTGCGGACAGCCGAGGTCTCCCAGCATCACAACTTTGTCTTGGCATTTTCAAGCCGACTGGAGACTTTCTCGGTTTTGTTGCTTACATGGAGAATGTGGCATCTTGGACGGTGGCAGCTCTTGGTCTTTCGCAACGATTGGACCAAGCGGTTTTTGCCAGAAGACGGCTATGGGTACCACGGTGTTTGCACGACAGCTGAAGGACGAGGTAGCCCTTTGCGAATTGAGGTGTTCCACCTGCGGCAAAGCACTCAAAGCACCTCACACAGGTCTGAGTTTCTGAGTGGCATTGCCCTGAGCCTCGCATGGGCGATCAACAGTTGTAGATCCGATCCGCCTATCTCCACGATTTTTAACTTTGAACAGTGCCAAACCATGTGTTTTCAGAAATGCCTTGGTGCTAAAGGTCCTTGGGCATGGATAACTGGTAATGAAATGCTAGTAGTTGAGAAACCTGCTCCAGCATTGGTGGCAATGAACGAATCAGAAACGCTGCAGCAGATTGTACGGGACAGCAGTGGATCAACAACACGCAGGTCTCAGTCTCAGTGTTTTTGTGGATACGCAGATATTTGCACCGGAGGTCCTGTGGGGCGGAGTTGGGGCGCGAACACTGAGCTGCAAAGGCTTTAGCTTGGGGGGACGGTGGGGCGCCTTTATCGTTTGGGAACAGAATTGCGTATCAAGCATCGTGAGGGAAAATGCAAAGTTTGGCGTCGTTTGTTTGCATTTCATGGACCTGGTGATAAAAAACATATGCAACAATGAGCCACTTAGTAAAGCATACATGAGATGTATACAGAGAAAGCATGATTGACATAAGACCTGGAGATGAGTGGTTATAATCTTATAAAATACTATTAGAATACACTACACAATATGCATGACCGAGATAATAAGACCTAGAGATGAACGGTACTATGCAGTGATCGAACGGTACTATGCAGGGGCGTTCAATTCTTTCCTTATGCTGTCTCTCAGAGCAAATGGCGCAGGTGGCTATCGGCCCGAAGCGATCTGAATATAAACACAAAAACAAGTCCAACCCACTGACTGACATGCCAATGTTGCTCTAGGTTGCCTTACACAAAAGAAGCTCACTCTGCCTTGCGAGAAATTTCTGTCAAGTCATCTGCACCTGCGAAAACATAGGAACCATGCTGCATCTCAGAAGGATTGAAATCTGGCTACAATAGAATTGTCTCACTAATATAAAACAATATAAATTGAGTGTTTTCAAAAGGTCTGCGATGGTTGTACCTGGAATAAGACTATACGTAACACAGCCATAGCAACTTCATTTCATATTCTTTTTTGCAACTTTCAACTTCTTTCAAAAACTTCTTTTTAAAGTTGCAAGTTTCTTTTACAACTTCTTCTCAAAGTTACAATGCTCAAACAAGGAAAGAAGTTTACAAAAAAAAGTTAGTCTTCGGTCAGTGTTTGGGCGACAAACGGTTGTCATTTATAAATACAACAGGACACTTCTAGCTTTGTACTGGTGTCGGCCGGTGTTGGGACATACATGTTGACAAGTTCTTTAGAACATTGTACACTTTTAATAAACTTGTTTAGAACTCATTTTTAGTGTTCGGAAAGTTCTTCCTTTAATCTAAGAGATTTAACGTGCGTATAAAACAAGATTGTTGCTGCGGAAAGAACATTGTCTATGCGGAAAGAACATTGTTGCTGCGGTTTGTGTGCATGCCTTTGAAGACCTTCTTGAAAACGCCCAAAATATAACACTTATTTCATCAAGTAGGCACAGTTTTAGATGCCTTAGTGCACAGCACTTGTTTATGCGCCAAAAAGAAGCAACAAAGTCTTACTGTACAAAATGTCCGAATCGTTTCCGTGCCAAGCCTGTCGAAGCGTCATATTCACAAAGCACAAAAGTCCTTGGAGCCAGGCACCAAAATGTGAGACTGCTCGCCACTTGGGGCTCTCGCAAAGCTGTCCAACGTAATCATTTGACCGTCTTTGATGTTGCGCAAAGTCAAGGCATCCCTGCCCCCGAGCAACTGCAGCAGAAAGAATCAGCATTCTGCCTTGGAGCAACCGACGCTGCATTCAGCGCACTGCACCCAGCTTTTAAACTTGAGAACTGAAAATGGAAAGTAGCGATGCCCTTTGTTCCTAGTAGCATCCTCTACCTGTGGGAGGCGATGAGATCTGAAATGGACCGCCTAGACTGGACATGGCTATCCTGCGTTCCTTTACGCTTTCTGCTCGCGCCACCGTATGCAAACTTCTTGGGCAAAATGGACACCCCGCGATTCAACGTGAAATTTGAAGCGATTGAATGTGACACTGCCAGATGGGAGAACCTGAGAGGCGATTTTCCAAGCATGTTTGGACATCTAAAAAACATATCGAATCATATCAACATTTCGGGACGCTGAGGAGAGAACACGGGGAAGGTCCAAGGAACGTAGCTCCGCGGAACCAGCGGTTCATAAGTAGTTGATCATGGGCCACAAACTAAAGCAATCAGCTCAAGTGCACATGGAGCTGGGCCAGCTCAGTTTTTCCACCAAGACATCAGTGTCTTTTAAAGGACATGAGACTCAAAGGATCCTGCTACACAGGGGTTGGGTGGCGGATTGATTCGTTTCTGGTTGGGAACATGCTGTCATTAGGGTCCCAGTCGCGAGAAGATGGCCATCAGGCGTTCAAACGCTAACGCTGAACGGAATGTTGTCGCAGGATCTGCTTGCTGGCTAGGGTGCTATGCATCAATTCCCTTTTTGTGGAAAAGGCCATATTAGGCTGAACCATGCTCAGAATCAAGTGTTGCAAGAAGCTCTAGTTTCCGTACAGGCTGTGACAGTTCTTCCACGCTCATCTCTAACCAACCTCAGACTATTCTAGTTTTGATCGTGTTTCAGCTACTATCTGAGCCATCTCCCGAGCTTACGGGCCAGGAATGTGGATGTGCGAGCATGATTGAACATCCTGAGTTGTGTGAAAGCAAAGCATAAGGCTTGCACATGCTCTCAGTACCAAGCTCTTTCTTTCAAGCCCGATCCAAGCACACTTTGGTACTGACATTTTGTGCATCAACTTGATGGACTAAATTGGGAACCCATAATGCGAAGCAACGCGAAACAATCGGCACAAAGTGGACAAGCAGCTCGTGAGCACTTGTACAAAGGCAACAAATATGTGAGACTTCAGAATGTTTCAGAGCTTGGACAAGGCCTGGGCAGCACGAAAAAGAGGAACCTACCACGTCGTGAATAAAGAATCTGAGGATCACGCAAGTCCAGGCCGGACCTTGCACAATGTGATCATCGAGAGTGCTATCATGGCACCCCTTTTGTGGAACAGCATATCAATCATATCACACTTGCAGCTTGCAGCAAAGCCGTCACACCAAGATCCAAGAAGCTGCAGTGCCATGCAATTGCCATGGACCCTTCAATTCAATCATTCTTCGCTTTGGGAAGTCTGAGGGCCCAGGCCAGTACATTGTCAACTCTATCAAACATTTCCTGCGGCACTCAAAAAGCTGAACACATCGGACTTGTTAGGTTTCCACAGATTTCCTTTGTGACTTTGGCCACCCCACCTGGAAGTGCTCTGTCTTCTGTCCAGCCTACCCAGCGGTCCCACCATCTTAAGCAAGATTGGCGTGCGTTTCACTGAAGCAGAATGTACTTGGAACATTCAAGAATGCAACTCTTGTTCGTGTGAAAAGAATAAGACGCGCTGATGTCATGTCATTGACACTTGTAGTTGCCTACTCTTCCTTTCTCACAGTTGATTGCAAACAATCGAAGGCCATTCTCAATGTCTAACCAGCGTACTGCATCGATCACCCGCCAAGCAAAGTAAGACGCCAAGGTCTGACAGCAAGGAACACCAAGAAACAGCAAAGACAATCCTATGATACTCATGCCGACCTGAAGAAGGACGTTCCATGCATTCGTGTCTGGCAGGTTTAAACATTACACCAAGTACAGCATCATCTGTAGACTGTATGATACCTTCTTTTGCTGCCAGTAACAAATTAGTGAATTCAAGCAGAACAAGCAACATCAAGTAACTATATACATATTAGTTGTGTGTCATTGTTCAATACATCTACATTTGAGCTCAAGGGCTTGCCTTCCCAAAGGAGGTCTTGATGTATCTCCGCACCACATGCTCGCCCACCCGCCTTAGCTGCTAGCTGCCAATTGGCGCTCCGTTTGAAGAGTGAGTGGCGATGGCGCTGTCGCTGTGAAGCCGTCAGAAGTGCAAGATCTCACTTGATACCAAGGTGCACAATACCAAAGGACATGGATTTATTCTTACTCGATTTCCAAATTGCGGAATGCGAAGCATCCAAACCCATACACTGCTTGCAACTTTTTGAACTGCAATGAGTACGCGTAGGGAAAGGAACAATAGGAAAGCTTGTTCGGGTGACATGTCCACAAAGCAAACAAGACCAGGATTCCTGCCACCCCTCGTTCCAAGGCTTCCAGGGTTACAACGCTTTCGTATTGAGGAAATGGCTTGCTGGGCGAAGTGAATGGAAGTGGCAACACTCCTGAGAACATATTGCGTAAAGCAGCCCTGTTTGTTTGGCTACATTGATATGCATGATATATTAGAATATACATATAAGATAGAGTAGACAAACTACCCACCTCCCAGGCTCCACCAAACTTGCGGGCCATCTGCGTCAACGTGGACATGGCTTCGGACCTTGGAACGCACATAAGCCATAAGCGAGCATAGCTCCCTGTCTTGCAAACTCCTCAAAACCAAAGGCGAGCTACGGAGAAGAGCTTTGCAAAAAGGAAAGCACGTAAGCCAGCAAGACCAGAAAATGACTGATATTCAGGCGCTGCGTCCTCAGGCATCTTCCAAAGCAATTGAAATGCATGAAATGGCAGGAATATCGAGATACCTGGAACATCTTAGAAACACTTGAGTGCAGGGGACATAACCAGCTGTCAGCTCGAGAAATTTGGGTTTTGTCAAAGCACAGTGCCTGCTAGGGTGGTCCAGGCTTGTCCCTTAGCCAACTGTTTTGAAAGTGCAGCCTCCGGCCTCTGCGTAGAAGTCAAAGTTGGAGATCGCGGTCAATCTGTTCAAGTCCACAGTAACTACGCCGGGACCAAAATCGATCCACCACACACCGCGTACCTTCATGCGCTCATGAACCAAGTGAGTCCAAAGCATCATACCATCAAATATTGCAGGCGAAACCACACTGATTCTTCATGATTCTTCTATTCAAGATAGGTCGCAGTCTTTGGTACTGCTTGATTCGGTGCAGCGAAGCTCAAGCGGGCCAGCGGGACCTTTGCTTCAAGCTTTGGTTCAAGGCGCTTCTCCACTCACCCCTATCCCCTAGATTCTTAGAATACTGTACGCCATGGAGTTGGTTGCGCGGTGGCATTCTGGGACTTCGACCAAGGTGATTGCAACACAGACGCGGGGTGGCGAGGGAGTCAAAGACCGTCCGTGTGGATGGTACGAACACAGGGCGAGCTTCAGTGACATGGACTACGTTGGTTGATTTCTGCAAAGGATGACGGTCACTGGGTTAAATGGATGGGGTGCAAGATTCCTCAGTGGGATTACAGTCAGTGACTTTGACTGTACCACAATCACAAAGGTGGTTGACTTCCAAGGTCACCGGGGGGACCATGCACGACTAACTGTTGACAGGCAAAGGTCGAGTCCATTGTATAACATTGGTCTGAGGATGGAGACTCTCTGCAGTGCCAAAAGCCTCTGAAGTGCAGCAGGTGATCTTAGCCTCAAGACCCAACAAGCATTGTTTGCTGACTCGATTCATGTCGATTTTGTCTGCGCCCCCAGCAACTTGCGCAAGGCTAACAGCAGGAGGGCTGCAAAGGCAGCACTCCAGGGCATCTTAAAGCAAATCAATGCACCAAACAAATGCCTTGTTTGAAAGAACGCTATAGCCGGTCATCTCAGTGCTGTCTGAAGGGATTGCACACAAGGACTACGCATTGGCATTGATGATGCATTAATCAAATCACTCCTAGATTTTCATCAAATGTTTGCTTTCTGCTCTCTTTGTCAGGTCTTCCATGCTGCCACTACTGGGAGCAAAAAAAACGCGGCAATCACTTGTCAACTTTGATACCTGTTTCCTGTTGCAACCACCAGTATTCAAGCCTGCGGATGCTTGAAAGCACATAAAACCTTCGTCCAACCAAACCTTGTCTATGCAAAACTGTGTCTGCATTAATCTGATGTCTTACTTCGAGCAACGGACAACAGCTGGGAATAATATTCCAGGTTTGTGAGCCCATACACGTGTAATTATTCGGCATTCAGAACCACGTGCTGACTACAATTCACTTAGCAGAGAATTACCACAGTCAACAATTAAAGAACTGGCAAACAATCAAACATAATCAGATTGCAATACAATGTTGTCGGGCATCTGAAGAAGGAGGTTGTGGGACCTCCGAAGGAGTAGCTGGACTTTTGATTCTATTTAAAATATACATATATAGCAAAATCTAAAAACATATTTTCGCCACGCAAGACATCTCTTTTTTGAAACAACCTGAAAGAACTTGGATCAACTTGGACCAGCCTCAACATTTTTTGTTCAGACGTACTTGGACTTTTGTGCAACATGTGTATTCTACAGTACAAAGAATTTGGCTGTCGTCGATATATAAACAAAATGACCCTTCTTGTGGAGGGCATCTTCTTCAAAAATTTGGCCTTGGTCGGTCTATGCAAAGCAGGCCAGTTCGTACAATGTCTTTTCTGGAGCTTGGTTGTGCCAGCCAAAACAAATGGAGAACGGGTGTGCTTGGGAGAGCACGAGCTAGCTCAAACCCTTTACAAAACACTATAACTACCGTGCAAAAATTTCAAACTGCTCTGGGACCTAGGCCTAGGCGAAACGCATATTTTTCAACCTTCCTGCGCCCAGTCTGGATGTGCAATGTCAATTACAACAACTAACAGTTCTTCGTCTGCCCACTATCAATGTGTAACACCAATGACAAGTAGGTTAATCTTTCTCTGCGCGCAATGAATGTAGCATCCTGAGCGAATAAAAATATAATACTATAAATATATATACACACATCAAGATGAACATGTACGTCAATGATATTGCTTTAGTCTCTTGCTTATCTGGCTTTTCATGATGTATTTTTACGTGTCCATTTTGTAAAAAGCATTTCCCAGGAGCACCCGTATTGTTAAAAAAAAGGGCCCCCCCTGTCCCCCCTCACTTTGACCTTGAATAAAGTTCATTCCAGATTCTAAGAAAGGAGTTCAAGAAGTAAATGAAATGTGACAAGAGCACGCTGTGCACTTCATGTGTGGTCGAGTTTTTCAGGTGTCAGAGCCGATTCCTCTCTGTAGAGATTTCTTGCAAGTGCATGGTCAGGTCAGTCTCGGAATCACCTCCCTGGATACGGGTCACGCGTCCACTCGATAGGGATATAGTCGGGAATGGTGAGAGAAAGGGAATGCTCTCCTGTCGGGTCGAAACCGCGTCTTGGATGTTGGCGCACCATGGAGCAATCTAAACATGTCCGCTGGGTTATTTGAGCCTTTCGCGTACTCTAGACTCAGATGACCTCGGAGCATTCGCTCGCGAAGCCATTCTACACGAATCTCAATGTGACGACTCCGCCTCTGGAGGTCTGTGCCCTTAAGCAACGCAATCGCTGCAGCCGAGTCTGAATGTGTCACGATTGTGAACATATCCTC